GTGTGTGTGTGTGTGTGTGTGTGTGTGTGTGTGTGTGTGTGTGTGTGACTTCCCACTCTATTTCAGATTCCCAGTTCAAATAGCTCACAAGAGAACCGAAATGTTTCTTCCTTGAATGGCATTGAGCCCACCTCTGAGGGCACTCAACAGCTGCTAACAAACCACACAGACCTACCTGAGCACAGTGGCTTGCCTATAGTCCTAGTGCTGGGGGAGCTGAGGCAGGAGGTTAACCTTTGAGGCCAGCCTGGTCAGAAATGGCCGGTTCAGTAGATAAAGCTTGCTACCAAGCCTGACAACCTGAAGATGCTCAGATGAACTGGTTCTGGCAAGTTGTCCTCTGACCTCTACCCCAAAAATAAATGTTTAAAAAAAATGTTTTTAAATAATTCTGGGCTGGGTTTCCAATCCCTTCAAACAAAGGGAGCTCACTGCTTTCCTTTTTCTTTTCTCTTTTTGAACATAAGTTATGGCTAGCCTGGGCTACACCTTTAAAGGGGACAGTGACTCAGTACTTGCTGCTCTTGCAGAGGGCCAGGATTAGGTTCCCAGCACCCACATGGCAGCTCACAGCCATGTGTGATTTCTGGCCTCCACACGCACCGCATACCTGTGGTGCACAGACACATACAGGCATATGCTCAGATACATAAGATAAAAATAAATAAACCAAAAAAGTTGCCAGTGTTGTTATCAGATACAGTGCTTTGATGCCCAAGTCCTTTATTTCATGTAGAAATAATATGACTAAATTGAGACTGTTCAAGAAAATGCTTTTTTCTAATATGGTGTTGTTCTGAGCTGGGCATGGTAGCGCAGCCTTGAATCCCAGCACTTGGGAGGCAAAGACAGGCAGATCTCTTTGAGCCAGCCTGGTCTACATAGCAAGCTCCAGGCCAGGCAGGACTGCACAATGAAAAATTGTTTTAAAAAAGCAAGTACTGTTTCACATTCTTAATTACCCATTACATGACAATAATGGAAACACGGTGACACACAGACTCATTTTACTGCAGCGGCCACACGCTGAAGCACGCCCTTCTTCTCTTAGGTTTTGGACTATGTCTTTGGCTGACACAACAAAAGTACACACAAATGAGCATTTCCCCAGCCTGGCACTAGGAAGCACCAGGTCTGCAGAAGGCAGGAGTGCCCCGGGGGCTAGCCGGCTCTCAGGAGACAGCGGGGATTCCAACGGGAGCGTGGACTACAGCCGGTCCCAGTGCTCCTTCCGAAGCCTGACCTCTCACTACGACTATTCGGAAGACTTCCTCTCTGACTGCTCAGACACAGCTGCTAACAAACTTCAGCCAGAGCCGAGTCTGGGGATAGAAAGGGAGAAAAGGAAGTATACTGCTTCTAAACTCTTTCGGCCTAAAGGTAAGAAGCCAGACTCCTAGCCAGGCTGGAGTGCTGGTCTCAGCGGCCTTTGCTTGGTACTAGTGTCTTGTGGTGGTGCAAATCAGTTACAGGTGTGTGTTCCTGCATCTTCCACACATCGGTAGCTGCGTCTAGAAGGCCTTGGGGGCAGAGAAACTAAGGGTAATTTTGAAATAAGAAGTGACAGTCTTGTCCTCGAGGAGCTGGCCCTCCGACCACACACACTGGAAGCCGTGTGCTGGTTTTGTTAACACGCAGTCTCATCCCAGGTACTCAGTGCTTGGCTTCACTAGCTTTTTGCCTTCGTTCTCACCTACAGAATCAAAGTCTGAACTGCCAGTGAAATGTCAGTGTCTTGTCTAAACACCCCAAGAAGACAGTGCCCCAAGTGTGGTGAGGATGTTGACAACCTTTCAAAGCCAAAGTCACCCAAAAGGCTGTTGGTGGTACCTTTACCTTGTGGCCTTTTGTGTTCTGGTTTTTATTTTTCAACTAGCCCCATGCCACCTTCCATCTCCTTCCACTTTTCCCACTGCCCAGGCTGAAATCACTTCTACCTGTTTTGGGCAATGTGTGGGTGTGGCAAGGCCAGCAGAGCCAACTGTCCTGGATCTCCTCTACCTCGGCCGCATTCACGCGCTGCCTCTCCCCAGCCTGCTGCCAGGGCTGTCCAGGACCAGAGCCCCCGTGGTCTTCAGTTCTCATCTGCCCACCGGACGTGGCTGAGACGGGTTGTGCATCTGAGCTTCTCCAGGGGAACAGCCATGGCTCCTTCTCCTTCCTAGGAGGGAGAGAATGGGTCTCATCCAGTGCAGGCCCACACAGGACATGCAAAGCTCACGGCTTTGTTTCATGCTGAGAGGTTGTAGGAGTCTGGAGCATTTCAGAGATGATTGTAGCAAAATGGCATCGAGGTTAGGCAGGTCCTGCCCTATGCTACCCCTCTTGTGCATCTAAAATGCGCAGATCTCTGAACACCCAGCCTCTGGAACCGAAACTCACTTAAGAGGGGAAAGAACAAGCTGGGGGCTGGAGAGGTTAGCACTCATTCGGGGCTCAAAACAACCCGTAATCCCAGTTCCAGGGAACCCAACAGGCACACACAGGGTGCACAGACATGAATGCAAGCAAGACATTTACATACATAAAATAAAAGGAAATAAAAACATTTGACAGAAGGGCATTATCTCAGAACCATTGGGAGAACGGTGGTGACTTACTTAGCTGTCCAACATTCGCCACACTAACCTTCTTTCTGTGGCTGCAGCTAAACACGACCAAAAGGGGAAGAGAGAGTTCATTCCGCTTACACTTCCATGCACAGTCCATCACCCAAGGAAGCCAGGGCAGGAACTCAACCAGGGCAGGAGCCTGGAGGTGGGAGCTGATGGAGGCCAGGGAGGGTGCTGCTTACTGGCTTGCTCAGCCTTCCTTTTTCTGGAACCCAGGACCACCAGCCCAAGGATGGCCCCGCCACAATGGGCTGGGCCCTCCCCATCAGTCGTTAAGTAAGACAATACCGTGATCTTATGGAGACTTTTTTCTCTCTTTTTTTTTTTTTTTTTTTTTTTTTGTGTGTGTGTGTGTGTGTGTGTGTGTGTGTTTGTTGTTGTTGTTGTTTCTTGAGACAGGGTTTCTCTGTGTAACCACCCTGGCTGTCCTGGAACTTGCTCTGGAGACCAGGCTGGCCTCAAAATCACAGAGATCCACCTGCCTCTGCCTCCAAGTGCTGGGACTAAAGGCGTGAGCCACCACCGCTGGAGCATTTTCTTCACTGAGGTTCCCTCCTCTCAAAAATCACTGGCTTGTGCCAAGTTGACATAAAAGTACGCAGCACAGTGGTTTTTAACATAACTGTTCTGCTGTGTTTGAATCAGGCTCTCACTTAGCCCAGACTATCCCTGACCCCTCCGCCTCCATTTCCCCAGTGCTGGGGCACAGGAAGACACCTCCACACCTAGCAGGGTTGTTTGAGTAACATTCATGGCAGATAGCCACACACAGGCTTCAGACTCTCAATCCATTCTGTGTCACTTCATAGCTACATAACCCTGGATGACCTGAAACCCATCTCCAGACACGGAACAGATGCAACTGCGTCAGTCACACACATCCACGAAGCACCTAGGCTGCAGCAAGCACATTCAGTCCTTTTCTCAAGCTCCTGCTTTCAGGGAGTTTATGGGTGTGTTGGGGGCCGCCACCACACTTGTGCCTATTTCCACACCTCTGTGCGCTGCTGGTAACGGCCTGCATTGCTTGCTCACACAGGCCTGAAGTACATCCCAACTGAGAAAAAGCCTATCTGGAATGCTTCATTTTTCAATTCTCAAATCCAAACAATTGCCAAGAGAAGAGACGCCATGACACATCGAATACTGTCAGCCAGGCTTCACAAGATTAAAGAGCTGAAGAATGAGTTAGCTGACATCCATCGAAAGCTGGAAGCTACTCTCATAGAAAACCAATTTCTGAAACAACTTCAGCTTAGGCACCTGAAAGCTATAGGGAAGTATGTGAACTCACAAAACAATCTACCTCAGATTACAGTCAAGCACCAAAACGAGGTGAAGAGCCTTCGCCAGCTCCTCCGGAAATCCCAAGAGAAGGAGCGGACGGTGTCTAGGAAACTCCGAGAAACGGACAGTGACTTACTGAGGACCAAAGATGCCTTGCAAGCCCTACAGAAACTCTCAGAAGACAAGAACCTTGCCGAGAGAGAAGAGCTAACTCAAAGGCTTACCATTCTTACAGCCAAAATGGAGGCAAATGACAAAAAAATACAGGTTTGTATCTCACAAGTTCCAGTAATGACAGAGGGTGCATGTCAGGCACAGCCCTCCCCACAGGACTGAGTGTGCTTTACTGGTGAGTGGGGGAAGGAAGGTCGGGGGGGACTCTCAGAGCTGGAAGTCTGCTCCTGAGTCAGCAGTTTCCACTTGTGTGGAAACAGATGGACGATGGCACAGAGCATGTGTGGGCCAGAGCTCTGGTACAGGGGTCTCCCTTTGACATGAACACCTGTTCAGCTCCTGCTGAAAGGCTGCCCTCCCCTCACCAGAGGATTGTGTCTGCCGTCCCTTTGCCTGCATTGTCTCTCCTCAGTCTGATAGAGAGGACTTGTTTCCACATAAAGTTTTAGTTATTTAAAAATAATAACTAAAAGTTTCCCTGGGGAAGAAGAAACAAAGAGGATGGGAAGGAAAGAAAGGGGAGGGAAGGAAAGTGAAAGAGGGAAGGAAGGAAGAGAAAGAGGAAAGGAAGGAATAGAAAGAGAGAAGGGAAGGAAGGGGAAGAGAAAGGAGAAGGAAAGGAAAGGAGAAGAGGGAAGGAAGGGGAAGGGAAAGAGGAAGGGAAAGAGAAAGGGGAAGGAAAGGAAGGGGAAGATGAAAGGGAAGGAGGGGAGAAGGGATGGGAAGCATGGGATGGGATGGGATGGGATGGAATTGAAGTATCTTAAGCAAGATGGATGGATAGATTTCCCTCAACAGACCCTTGCTGTCAAAAGCCACTAAATGCACCAATGTCCCTAAATGCACAGTGGGGGAGCAGATGCTAATCGCACAGGCCTGCCTGCTTTGTGTGATCTTCGTGGGAACAGACACAGATAGCCAAGTGCTATTTCATTCTTTGATACTTGATGATGACAAATACTTTCTAAGTATTAGATTACCTCACCCACATTTTCATGATGCTGTTCTGCTGAAGAAGTCCTCTACTCTCAAAGAATATTGTCTTTGTAGAGTGGGTGATAGGCAGCAACATTCCGAGTAGCCCCTGACACCTAAGTCAGCATCTGGGGTCCTGTGTGTCTGGGAGGCCCCCAGCGTGGTCTGGTGTCCCTTCTTACAGTCCACCTCTGTGGAGGGTAGCACAAACCCCGTTACAGCCCTCACGTCTGTTCTCTAGGAGTCCCTGAATGCCAGTCTGCACTGAGGCCAGACCTCCCGCTAGAGAGGGGAGGGTCTGCCACCTGCTGGCAGCGAGATGCAGCTGGGTCCCCTGCCAAGCATGAGCCTGGCTGTGCTTAGTGGTTTCCAAATGTCAGACTGTTTTTGTCAGTGTCAGGGTTTGTGAAGTGCATGGGGCGTTGTGCTGGAAAGATGTGTTCATTCTCTAGACCTGAGGCCTGCCGGGACTTTGTGGCCAATGTTTCATTTTCTTTTGTTCTGGCTACACATAGTTCTCCTGTTTGTCCCCTAAGCCAGTGACTAAAGCTATGCTGATGTTCTGCACCTGTCATAAATGTAGCTCATTTCATTGCAGTCAAGTTTCATGACGCCACACTGGCTGCAGAGTAGTTGAAATATATACTGTTTTCAGAACTTGGAAAAGCACCTGAGGCTGAACAACCAATCCTTTGGTAGGCAGTTGGCCAAAGAAAACCGGAAGACGCTAGCAGCTCAAACAGCGACCAAGAATCTGCAGGGCCAAGTGAAGCAGCTGCAGCAGAAGCTGAAGGTACTTCCGAGACTGTGCTCCCGACATGGAGCTATTTACACATGCGGTGCTTTTCCCAACAACCATGAGCAGAGAGTGAACAGCCCACCCAGTGTGCACTGTGATTAGACATACTCGCTCTCTGAGACGGCTTGTTCGCTCTGTCACTTCACAAAAATGACAACAGTACATTCTGACCACACATTTTAATGTAACTGACAGTAGTCTTTTAAAGCTATAAATGAAAACCTGGTACTATCCAATATACTCTAACGGCCCATAAATGTGTTAACATCTTACTTGTGATGTGGGATAGATTCCAATGGTGAGGCATCTGTAGTTTCCAACCTCACAGATGCAAACAAATAGCTTCGTGCAGAGCTAGGCACAGTGGAGACAGGAGAGCAGCAGTTTGAAGTCACCACCCCTGGCTGCAAAGCAATTCTGAGGCCAGCCTTGGCTGTGTTAAGTCTTCTATCTCAAAAACACTGGGGCTGGAATGGTAAAGGGTGTGCCAAGTCTCATGACCCAAGCCGGGACCCACACAGTCAAAGAAGAAAACCAACTCCTCTAATTGTCCTCTGACCTCCATGTGCACAGTGACATCGTGCGCACACAGATGATTGATTAACAGACACACACAATGAAACACAAACAATAGACTGGTACTTTCCCACCATAGCCATGCCTGATAGTGAACCAAGGGCAACAGAACAGAAACTATGAGTGTCATGACCTAGACTGCTCACATTATTGTGTTACATCAAAGTTACTTGCAAACTTCAGTGGCTTAGGAAATGACACTAATTTTGCTCATAGATCTAGAGTTTGGGCAGGACATGTCAGCACATGTGTGTTTCTCCTGGCTTGAGTAAGGGCACTTCCTGGGCTGGACATGGACACGCCTGCAGCTTCACCCCTGTGTCTGCAGCTAGTGAGTTAACAGCTGAGCACCAGACACAGTGCCAGTGGGACTCGGTGTCATGGACTTCCTCACGATCAGTGTCTGAGCTCTGAGGAGAAGGGGACCAGGTGCCACACGCCCTTAGGAACCAGCCTTACGTCTGCCTTCTCCATGAGCTGAGGCCAGCCACAAATGCTTGCTGTGGGAGCTCAAAGACAGAAATTAGGCCAATTTCAGGACTCTAATCTGACAGATAATCCCAAATTCTTATTGTCTGGTCCCAAGATCAGGAAGGCTGTTTCTGGATACCACCATCATTCTCAGAGCGACTGCCACAAACCTAAGGCCGTCTCCGCAATATGGGATTAACTATGATGGATGGAGCCTCCACAGCTCCTAAGTGCAAGGTTGTGGCCTGGGCTGGCCCAGGGAGCACCTTCCATGCTGCTGCCTCCTCCTTCCACCCTTACTTTTGACGTGATTCCTGTGAGCTCAGGGGTAATCTTTGCTTTGGATACCCAACAAAGCATTGGTGTGCATTTGTTCTCTATGGCCCATCTTTCTTTTTCTCTTGATTAATCACACCAGCATCCTGGATTGTGTTCTAAACTGTTGCCTTAGCTCCTTCGGTCCACCTCCTTTGGTCCTAAGCCTGAAAGAGGGTTGTTCCTCCTGCTGCTTCCTTCTGCATTCACTCAGCCCTGCACCAGCTCATTAGCAGCCACCCTGTCTGCTGCTGACTTGTGTCTCATACGAACTTTCCAGAAACCAAAATGTGTGCCCTTGTAAACACTAAAATCTTTATCTAAAGCAGTGTGAGTGAAAATCATTCTGCCTGGAGAGATGGCTCCGATGTTGTGAGCACTAACTCCTCTTGCAGAACACTCAGGTCCGGCTCCCAGCTCCACCTGACAGCTCACAACCATCTTTGCTTAAGTAGCTCCAAGACCTCCTCCTGGTCTCCATGGGCTCAGACTGTCCCAGACACACACTGTTGGCATTTCTGGCCTCTGACCTAAACGTTAAACTATGAGAAAGCAAGGAAGGGAGAAATGGACCATAATACTTTGTTAAACTATTACGAAGCAGGAAAGAGAGAAATGGACCATAATACTTTGTTAAACTATGAGAAAGCAGGGAAGGAAGAAATGGAACATAATACTTTGTTCCTGGAAACAGACATTCTAGAAAAGATTACTTATCCATGTACATATATCTCAAAATAAAATTTTATTATTAAATAGAGCATAAAAAATGAAGGACTGGAGTGCTGCCTGAGAGGTTAGGCGCATTGGCTGCTCTGGCACAGGACCCATGACCCACCCAGCACACACACACACACGCACACACGGCAGCTCCTACCATCTATAGCCGAGCTTTCAAGGCATCTAATGCCTCTTCCGGCCTCTTTGGATACCAGGCTAGTACCCGGTGAGCACATACATGCATGCAAGCAAAACACTCAACAAAACACTCATAAAAAATGGAAGAACTTTTAAGAGTGTAAGGCCTAGACTCTCCAGCGCCGACAGAGGTCTGTAACGTCCTCACAGACATTCTTCATGGTGAGAAGTGGGAATGGAGATGCTCTGGAGACGGGGGAGTCTATAGGCTTGTCCCCGTCTCCACGGGGGACATTAGGTTCTTCAGCCTTTCCTTACCCCAGAAGACTTTCAAAGCCTTTCTTTTGCCATGGTTCAAAAGCATTAATGCTGTGGTTTAAAGCTGAGCTGTGTCCCTGCTGTGGGTCTCAGCTGCCCTACGCCTGTGTGCACAGCCTGTCTGAGATGCTGGGGTGAAGGATGCCCCTGCTGCCCAGGACTGCGTGGGGAGAGGGACTGAGGGCTGAGTTTTGATTTATCACACTTTTAAGTGTCAGCAGCATGTAAGTGCTGCTTTTCCAGAGTCAAGGTTTCTAAAGCGAGGGGCTGTGGGACTGACACTGCGCTCTTTTCAGGAGAAGGATCGTGAGCTGGAAATCAAAAACATCTACACTAATCGAATACTTAAAAATTTACAGGAGAAGGAGGATTACCCAAAAGGTGCGTTTCCGCCCCTTCTGCCCACTCTGCCTGAGTCCCTGGGTGTGTTTTCCTAATTTATGTAGGCCAAGTGCGGGAGCTTACCCAGCACTTGGCTGTGTGCAGGGATTCACTTTCTGACTATAGGATAATGGAGCTGTGGCACTGTCAGAAGAACCAGCAACGCATTGTTCCTGCCAAACAGCTCTGAGGAAATGTGTACGCAGCATGCAGCTTCTGAACAGGAAGCTGTCTGAGGTGCATTTTACAGCATGTGCCTGGGCCAGCCTTCAGGGTCAGGGGACATAGGCAAGTGCTTGCAGCCATGCAACCAGCACTCTGGTCAGCATCACTTCTCTCCAGAGGCAGGGTGGCCCCTCGGGTCCTCGGCGGTGCCTGAGCAGGGTCTGGTCCCGAGATCATTCCAGAACCGCACATGTGCAGACTCCGCGAGGCACTGGCTGCCTTTGTTCAGTACAGGGTGCTCCTGTCCTGCACCCTGACCTGTGCACTGCTCATGTGCACTGCAGCTCTCCCGCCTCAGGCTCTGCTCAGGGAAGGCACGGCGGAACCCTCACCTCCCACACAGCACAAACAGCCAGGTTTGCTTTCAAAGACACTGAACTCCATTCGCTCTGGATTCTAATTCTGAGTACCCCCCACCAGCTAAGGCAGTATGCCTGCTGGCACGAGGATGTTCAGTGACCTCTAGTTTCAGGTCATGGCTCTAGTTCCTGCCATGCACAATCCGCTCACCAGGCCTCAGGACCTCTGGCGTGGTGTGGCAGTGGCCTAGTCTCCCTGCCATTCCTGGAGGACAGGCCACACTGTCAATGTCTTATTCTAGCACCCACCTGGTCCCTGACACTCAGGACCTCTGAGGCCTAGGATGACATCGGGAGGGGGAGAGGGAAGACGCTGCCCGTGTGGCCTCCTGAACAGTGTTTGTGGACATTGCCGCCCGGGAACACTAAAGCTTCTGAGAACAAATGTTTCTCACTATAACCTACCTATTTTACAGTTTCTTCAACAAAATCAGTACAAGCAGACAGGAAAAGTTTGCCGTTTGTAAATATAAGACACCAAGAAACCCAAAAGTCAGATGTCCCACCTTGGACAACTAAGGTAGGAGAACTCCGAAATCTTGCATTGTCTGATAACATCTTAACAAAAATAGTGTAACTGGCTGAGTGTGGTGGTGCACACCTTTAGTCCAAGCACTTGGGAGGCAGGGACAAGTGGATCTCTGTGAGTTCAAGGCCAGCCTGGTCTACAAAGAGTTCCAAGACAGCCAGGGCTCTTACACAAGAAATTTTGTTTAGAAAAACAAACAAACAAAACAAAAAAGCAGCCAAAAGCAGTCACTGGTTGTACATAAAAAATAATTTTAGATTATCTACATCCCAAAATGCATTTTACTGGTTTTCTAAATTACAGGGTAAAAAGATAACAGGAAGCATTGGTCATAAAGAAAAACTAATTGAAATAAACCCTGAAATTTCATACCATATATGTAACCTACCAAAACAAGAGGAATCTAAGAGAAAATATGAAGGTAATTGAACAACTTTTAAGTCTCCTGCCAGGCATCCTGGGCCTCACCTACAGTCCCAGCATGGGGGCGAGGCACTGAGGCAAGGGGATGACCAGGGCCCAGTCCTAGGCAAGGTCATGAGTTATCCTGGAAGACAGTCATTAGCTCCACAGCCAGGGCTCTGTCAGCATACCCAAGCCAGGGGGAAGTCAGAGTGAGGGGGGCTCAGAGCATCCAAACCTAAGATCAGAGTCAACTTCCAGCTCTCCAGAGCAGGTCACGATGCTTGTGTGGGTGTGAGCAGGAGCCTAGGCCAGCTCAGGCTGTGGACTGCCTGAGCAAGGTCAACCCTCCAGGCCATGGGCAGGCACGCCAGACCCCTAGCTGCCCCGGTACAGAGGAGTCTGGAGGGGAAGAAGTTGGGGATGTGTGGGCCAGGCCTGGTCTGACTGCAGCTGGGTTCTCTGTCCTTGCACTAAGCCGTGTCCTCATCTTTGCATAGCAAACCTCACTGCTGCGAAGAGCACATTGCCTGCTCACGCTCCCCGGGGACTGGCGGCCACCGAGCAGACCGCTCCTCTGGAGAGTCACTCTCGTGCTCAACCAGGTGACTAAGTAGGGAGACATCCCGGGTGTAGCTTCCCTCAAGAGTCTGAAGGCTTGGCCACTTATTTTCATAGCTTGCCACTGCTACAGGTGAGCTGGGGGCCCAGCAAGACCTAGCAGGAGGTGAGCAAGCTGAGATCCCATCGTCCGCCCAAGCCTGAGGAAAGAGCTGAGCAGAGGCCCTGGCAGGGCCACGCTATGAAGTCAGCCCAGGTTCACACAGCTGCTTTGGCCGCAGTGCCCCATAAGGCCGCTGTCTGGTGCAGTTTGCTGGAAATGTCTCCAAATGGACATTTCCTGTGGTCAGGGTTGATTTAATTTACCACTTATTTTTAAGCCCATTTGGAAAATGTACTTGCTCCTTTGATATACATACACATACATACAAACACACACGCACCCCGCCACCAGCAGCAGCAGCAGGAGGAACAAAGGCAAAACACCCTGAGCTCATGATCTCCTGTAAAACTGTTACCACCATGAGGCCTCCGGCCCCTGCTGCCCAGAACCCACAGCGGCATGCTTCCCTGGCACACCTTAGAGCATTTGAACTAAGGGTGCTCGCTGCACACACCGCCCTACACCACCTGCACAGCTTGTTCTAGAGACAAAGCGCTGGGCCTAAGAGTGTACTCACTTGAGTTCCACTCGAAACAGCCAGACTGCTGCAGAGACAAAGCAAAAACGTGCCAAGTTACATACTCATCAGTGGATCATTTCTGCAGCGGCTATTGAAGTGATTTCCCATCTATGGATAGGAAAGGGTCTTGTTTGAATTGATGTTTAACACTTCAATAGCCTTGAGGGAAGATTTTCTTAGTATTTGTGCATGAATGACCTCTTTTCTAATTCCAGTGAATTTGGGGCCTCATTATTTGGGCCCTGTCTACTTGGGGCCTGTTTATTTGGGCCTGTTTGTTGGGCCCCCTTCATTCCTGCTGGTGTGTTAGCCTCTTCTGTCACTTCAGCCAGCAGCTTGTCTGGAAGTCTGGCAAGATGTGTTAACACGCCACCCTGAACCAGAAATCTGAGGGCTCTCTGTTTGGGGCTGGTTGGTTTTATGGCTCCACAGGCAGGTAGTTACACGCTCAGCCCCAAATCCATCTGTTTTTTGCACGGTGTTGGTAAGTGCTATGAGCACATCGACCTAAGTGCCGGGAGACAGGGCTCTCACAGAACCAAGCTCCCTTCACCCTCCAGCAGTGCTTAGGATCTGTGCCTGTCCAACCCCGCAGTGCTAGGGGCACAGCTGTGACCCAGCCTTGGGGTTTTGCCCCCAGCCTGCACCCCCAACCACTGTGCCATGGTGGGGAGAGGACCCTAACATCCATGTCTTGTTTGAGGCACTCAAAGCTCCATCTTCCTAATGCAGAGTTATCAAAGGAGGTCGAACACCCAAACCCACAAGCCTCTCTGGAAACTATTAGGAGGCAAAACGACAAATGGGAAGAGGAAGAGAAGAAAGCCACGCCACCAGACGCAGAGCCACCCACAAGAGGAAGAGAGGCGCCTACTGATGTGGAGATCGAGGCCCCGGCCAGGGCATCGAGCAGGGTGGCCAAGGTGGTGGAGGCCGGGGATTCGGAGACCGTGCATGGCCACATCAAGATCCCACGGCCTCGGAAGCACTACTCCTTCACGGAGGCCACCGAGGCCCTGCACAATGGGCTGCCCACGCCCTGCGTGCAGGGCAGCCCTCGCTGCCGCCAAGGCGTGGGCAAGCACCGCAGCAACCAGGAGCTGCGGCTGGAGCCCAGCGGCTATGAACCCTCTTTCGGCAAGGCAGCCAGGGCCAGGGCCAAAGAGACGGCAGCGTTCCGGGACAAGAAGAGCAGTCTCATGGAGGAGCTGTTTGGTGCGGGCTTTGCAGCTAGGGCCGGCCCTGCCAAGGGCGAGGCGCTTGGCAAGGCCCAGCAGCTTGGCCAGGCCTCAGCCAGCAATGCCTTCGGGGACTCCAGAGCCACCGTGGTGCACTCCATCCAGGCCTCGCCGGAAGGAAAGAGGAAAACAGTTCTTTAAATGCGAAGGTAGCCTAATACATTGTGCACTTCTATGGGTGCCTTTAGTCTGACTGTGAGAGGGCTTACATAGTGTTTTAGTACTTGGGTGGACTGTGGGTAATTTGAGTAATTTGCTTTATTGCTATCTAATAAAAACTCCAGTGTACCTTGGTCATATGGTAAGGTTTTAAATGTAAATCTACACCTTTATTATGAAGGTGGAGCGTGCTCTCCAGGAAGACGGGGCTTCTCACGTAGCTCAGGCGTACCAATTTCTGTCATCAAGACTGTTGTCACAACTGCATGGAGGAGACACTGCCAGCAAGATGGCAGCAGACACAGAAAATCCCACAACAGGGCTTCAGGCTTGGCCGGAGTGTAAGGGGCGGCCGCAGAAGCCTGTGTTTTCTGTTACTGTTGAGACTTATTATTTCTTCTTGTTACATAAGGACCATCTCTCTTGGCCTTATTCTACAACTGCATGCTCAAGCTGGCTGCTCAGGCCTGATTCTAACGGTTTTGTCAGGAGATGAAGGGCCTGTATTCCCGGCCCACACTGTGCAGCTTGCCTTCAGCTAGCCGTAAGAGCAGCTTACTCATCTAGACCTGGTCACACGCCTCCAGACGTTTAAGGGGCTGGTGTATGCTAACACTCGAACGCTGAGAGCAGGGCTGAGTGTGGCCCAGTGGCAGGGTTACTGCGGAGGGGCGATGACGGACGCTGGACATGGCTGGCTGTGACTGCTCCACCTGCATCGCAGCCCCTGGACGCAGAGGCTCATCTCTTAGTCTGAGCCGACCTGATCATCATGAGGAGTTCCAGGCCAGCCAGAGCAGTGAGACCCTGTCTCAAAAAACTTTTAATTAAAAAAAAAAAAAGGAACTAATGATTCTGGGTTTTCAGATTTTTTTCCTTTTATAAAATTTCTCAAAGCTTTAAATGCATACACACCACCATCCGTACACAGGGCCCATCCTGGAGAACCCTAAGAGCAGGCAGCAGCGGGGCCTGGGAAGCGCTCAGGCAAGGGAGAACAGGGCGCGCTCCACGGCACCTTCCCCTCCTAACACTGTTTACTGCCCGTCTCCACAAGCAGTTTGAGAGTGAAAACCACACACTGCTCCAACTCGGCGGTACGTAGCTGCTCACAGTGCGCACGAGGGGCGCCAACCCCCGGGAACTAACCAGCCTGTCCCTTTTGTCTGCAGCTCAGCTGAAGCCCCACATCCCATGGTCTGGGTCCTTTATTCTGATTACTGTTCGGAGTGGCCTTGGTATGCTGACTCTGGCTGCCTAAATGTGGGCATGAGCGCCATTCCAGACCGTGGCTCGCTACAGAAAGGAGGAAGGCCCTCCCCACCCCCACCCCAGGCTGCATCCAGCCTCCTCAGGTCCTGAACTAATCTGTAGATGAACTGTTTCCTGCGTGGTGAGTTGGTGGCATGTCCTGCTGGCAATGCTGGCTACACAGACTGCCGCACCCCATTTGTGCCCTTTGTAAGTCCAGCCAGGTAGCAGTGGTGCCATGCATTCTGCCGAGTTTACATCAGCAGGTGCTCTGGCCTGCGTGGGCGGTGGACAAGCCCAGGGCCCAGCGCTCAGCCTGATCAGAACAAGGGCGACTTAGGGGTCATCAGGAAACCAAAACGTAAGTAGGACCCTTGTAAACCCATTGCTCTGCCACTGCTCCCCAAAGTGGGGAGGCAGCCAAGCGGATTTCTCTGAAGTCAGCCCACTCTACCTGGCTCCAGGGCAGGCAACGCAGTGTGGAGTCCAGTCCTGCAGCCTGCCGTCAGCAGCCCTGGCACACCCTGGAATAGACCTGGCAGAGCGCACACACCTTTAATCCCACTGTTTGGGAGAGGGGTCGGGTGGAGCTCTGTGGGTTCGAGGCCAGCCTGGCCTACACAGTCTCAAGAAAGCCAGGGCCACATGGAAAGACCTTCTCTCAAAAAACATAAACCAACCCTGACTTGGCAGGACTCGGCCTTGTACATTTATGACCCTAGTGAGTCGCAGGTGCCAGGGTCACACTGCGCCTGGCGTAGGTCCACATGGCAGAAACACCCAACGCTTTAAACACATACTTCATTGGAAACCCTTTAAATAAAAACGGTATTCTGTGGTCACAGAACACATACAGGAACTAACAGGCTTAGACATGTAGGGCTGCTTTTCACACTTACACACTGAGCCTGGTCCAACACATGCCATTTCCAACAGGCGACACCAACAGCACCCATGAGGGCCACGTTCAGGGCTTGGTGTGGTAGGGAAAGGGTGACTCTGCAGCTGTGACACTGAACAACGCTGAGTGGGCGCCAGTGTGCACACGCCACTCGGTGGCTCAGTCCTTGCGGGTCCAGAACCGTGCCACGTGACACAGTAACTAGTCTTCCTGGCTCAAGGACAAGTACAGGAAGGAGATCCTGCAAGAACTAGAATCCGGGTGCCACACCCCGAAGCAACCAACAAGAACCGGGGGCTGTGCACTCCACTGTCTGCAGAGGAAGCTTCTGTCCGTCGATCCTCAGCTGAAAGGGTGGAGAAGGATCGCCACCACCTTGTTACACACCAAAATCCAGCAGGTGATTCCGATGCCACCTGGAAAGGAGGAAGCGCGTCAGAGGCTGCAGCGGCGATGCCTGGGCACTGTCACGTACAGGAGGAGCGCCCCCCCTCCCCCCACACACACACGGCGCCCTGTGCACCAAGCAGGCCCACCCTGAACTCCTGCAGAGCCGTCCGTGAGTGCATCACTAAGCTGTAAGAACACCCAGTACCACTATTCTTCACTTCTCAAAAAACATTAAACAAAGGCACCCTCCCCCCCCTGCAGGCTGCATGACCAAGCGCTCGAACTCAGCGGATGGGGGGGGGGGGGACAAAGAAAGGGGAGGGGAGGAAAAGGGAGGGAAAGAGCAGGGCATGGCAGGGAAGGGCAGAGAAGCGGGACAAAGAAAGGGGAGGAGAGGGGAGGCGAGGGCACAGGAGGGAAGGAGGACACAGCACAGCTGGACTGCATGTCCCGACAGCTTCCGTTCCAGCAGGTCCTCCACTGCAGTGCGACCACACATCAGAAGCAGACTGGCCAGAACCCGCCCTTGGTTTTAAGGCTCTTATAGGGAGTCCATGACGGACTTGGCGCTGGAGCAAAAGCTGAGATGGCAGGCCTGAGCCAGCAATCCAGCATTGCTGTGTCTACTGGCAAAATCAAGACCCGAGACATGTCCTGACAGGAAAATGCAGGTGACAGCAGCTACTGAAAGTGAATGCTTCGAGCCGCGGGTCTGCACGTATTCATCCTACCTGAGACAGGATTAGCTCAGGGCAGCCTTAGCAAGAAGCATGCAGTGCGGTCTAACCTTCTTCCCTCTGCCCCAGGACCCAGAGAGGGGCCACTGGTGCAGCACAGAATGGGTCCCAGCGACAGCTGATCTGGGCACGTCACCGGGGCCATCAGGAGGCACACCTACCAGTCTGTGGTTTGTACTGCAGCAACCTGAACCGTGGGTGCCGCGTGGGAAGGAATAAGGACCACGGGACTCTACGAGGCTTAGCAGCCCGCACAGCTGCACTGGAGCAGACCCGACTCTGGGGCCTGTGGGTACCAACAGGGCCCTGGGCTATTGCTGGCCTCCCGTCTGAGCTGGCTGTCTGGCCTGGGCGCAGAGCTCCTCCGGCCGCAGCGGGCACAAAAGGCCACGGACATGACTTTTACAGATGTCCCCTGAGGCCAGGATATGAGGACAAGGCCAGAGCAGCCGAGTCTCTGTGAGTGTGAGGCCACTGGGCCATACAACCCCCAACCCGGAGTCACTGTGTGCACATTCCTCATCAGCGTGAGCAGCCTACTGCCTCAGAAGATTTCACATCGGGAGGCACCGGGTGCTGGCGGGTGCTGGGGGTGCCGGGCCTGGGCAGTCCCACCCATTCCCCAGCCCCCATGCCATAGGAGGGGACAGAGAGGACCAGGTCAAGTCTCGCTCCGCCCGCCTGCTGCCACAAGTACCTGCCACTCGAGTTGGAAAGGCGACCAGGCGGTCCAGCGGGGTGATCCACCTGCTGGGCACCACAGCCACAGGCACCGAGTAGTACTTCCAGATGAGCGAGACCATCAGCGCTGCCTGCAGGGAGCATGGGGTAAGCAGCGCCTGCACACGAGCGCGAGCGCGCGCGCGCACACACACACACACACACACACACACACACACACACACACACGTGCGTGCACACGCACACACCTACACGTATACACACGTGCATATACACTCTGCTTGCAGGGGGTGGGCCTTCTCGTGGGAATTGGCATTTGCCATCTTAGCATGGACACCGAATGTTCACTATTTAAATTAGTGTCTCCAGAGCCGCTGACGTGCTCGGCAAATGTGAAAGCAGCCGAGACACCACGGTCCCGCTGCCATCCTGTCAGCTCCAGGCTGGTGAACACAAATACTTCACTCCCGTCCTTGCCCAGAAGCACCCTCTGTGGTCCCGCTGCTCTGCCCAGATGAGCACACTGAAGGGCAGCAGGCCTGGCTCTGTGCAGTGCCGAAAGCCGCAGCAGAGGGCACAGAGCACGCCCCAGGGAAGAGTGCCAGGGCCTAGCAGCAAGGAAGGTGGGAGCTGGGGCTGGAGGGCGGCCCAGCCCTGAGCTGCACTGCCCGCTCCTCAGAGGGCCCAGGTCAGACTCCCAGCCCCCACACGGCAGCGCAAACATCTCTAAGCGCAGCCCCAAGGCATCCAATGCCCTCTTCTGACCGCCAAGGAGGCCAGGCTCGCACAAGGTGTACAGACACCATGACAACCAACCAATTTTAAAAAGAAAAGAAGCACAGGGCAGGGGGGCCCCCACACCTGTGAGTCCAGCACTGGGGAGGCAGAGGACGGTAGGTCTCTGTGAGGTCATGGCCAGCCCGGTCTACACAGTGAGTCCAGGACAGCCAGGGCTACACAGAGACCCTGTCTCAAAAAACAAAAAAATAAGAAAAAAAGAATCAATTTGCCCCCGCTGCCCAAGGACGGGAGCACTGTTTACCTCCAGGAAGGAGCACTATTCCCCCCCAAGGATGGGAACACTGTTTACACCCCCAGGGGGCACTATCCCCCCAGAACAGGAGCACTATTTATACTCCCAGGGAATACTACCTCCCCTCTACCCCCCTCACCCCCAGGAGCACTGGCCTCTGAGGCAAGGCAGACAGCACCGCCAGCTCAAAGGCTTTCTCAGTCTCACACGCGCACGCTCACTACACTACAGCCAGCAAGCTTTGGGGCTACGCAGAAAAACCTGCCCGGAGTGTGAGACACCAACACCCACCTCTGGCCTCCATGCACACGTGCACACACACATGCAGACTCCCAGGCCCACGCACACTCACCTGCAGTACGTAGAAGGCGACACTGATGAACCATTTGACCTTGGCCAACTGCGCCGTCCGCGCCTTCACTGGGAAGAGGCAGCAGAGGGATTAAGCTCAGACCGAGAACACGCCACTCAGACACGCTGCTCCCTGCTGGGCACCTCCCAACTCCACACGGAGCAAGCAGTGCGCTCAGCACACCACGTCCAGCACAGAAAGGCCAGAACAGCCCTCACTCTGAGCAGCTGCGGTGGTGCACGCCTGGGATCCCAGCACTCGGGAGGCACAGGCAGGTGGAGCTCTGTGAGTTTGAGACAGCCTGATCTACAGAGTGAGTCCAGGACAGCCAGGGCTACACAGAGAAACCCTGTCTCAAAAAAACAAAAAAAAAAAGGGAAAAACCCCTTCCCCTGTACACCAACCTACAAAACCTAAAGTTGTCCACTGTGTGTCAGAGCACCCCACACTGCACCCCAAATCTGCACAAGCCATCATCAGACTCTTCCTGACCTGCCACAGCTGGGACTGAAAGTCACGCCTGTTTTCACAGGCACGCCTGTCCCCTGCGGCAGGAGTGGCCTGGTGCTCTACCTGAGGTGGCCAGCAGGGCCTCTGGGGCACACTGCTCCCGGGAGGCCTCGGGGGCAGGGCAGTCTCACTCTGCAGCCCTGCAGGACAGACAGACTGACAGGCTAGCCTGAAACTCAGAGACTCAAGCACTCACCACCCTGTTCTTTGCCATCTTCACACTGTGGGCGTGCCCCTGAGAGTGCAGAGGGCCCTGAGAACCAGCTGTGTGATCTTCATCTGGATGTCCCTTAGCAAAGGGCCCAACCTGAAAGTGAAGGCCTACAGAGGACAAGCTGGCCCTGAGGAATCATCTACAAGGACTTCTGGGTCCAAAGACAGCTTACAGCAATGAGAAATCAGGCTATCGTGGGAGCTCCTATGCACAACTTAAAGGTCAAAGCCATGGCAGCAGCATGCCGCAAGCCCAAAAGCCCACAGCTATGGCCCTGCCCGTGACCATAAGACAAGTACCGTGAGTTTTGAGCCTGTCTGTCGTTTTGTTGATCTTCCTCTCCAGCCTGGCGTATCTGGCAAACTCATCCATCATGTTGATGGTGGCCAGCTCCTGCTTCATGTCCTGGATCTCCTCCCGCATCTGTGACTCCTGCTCTGCATCCTTCTGCAGCACCCTGGAGACCTGTGGGGGAATGGGGGCTGGCCTCAGTGTCCTCCCACGCCCTCGCTGACACCCAGCATGTCTTAGGAAGATGGTGGGAGTCATGCTGAAGAACACAGCCCTGCAGCCACAGGCACCTCCGAGAGCTTTAGGGTCCCAGGGCTGTGCGGTCATGGGAAGGCTGGGTGCAGAAAGGTGTGGGCCAGGCCAGTGGCAGCAATCTCCTGCCTCACAGCAACACAGCATTGTCCAGGACCCCCCCAAACACAGCCGCAGCAGCTCTGCAGAAGCCCTGCCAGAGCT